ACACTACACACGCACTGCTGCGACACAAATCGCCTTTTCACGGATTTCCGACCGTGTTGAGCACATGGGACGTCCTTCTTCAAGCAACAGCAATAGTCCGCCAGGAAGTTGACACTTGCCGTCCCACCGACCGGACCCTCGTACCGTTTTTCCATCAAGCGTATATCTTTGTTGAAACATTCTACCTGCTCTTCACTATAATCACCAGCTTTCTGGGAAATAATCGGGATGGGACTTAAAAAAGCTCAAAATGTATCAGTATGCCCACTCCAATATGCATAGGTATTAATGCATCGGTGTGTATCCTTGACATAGTGTGGAAACTCGAGCTAATCGAGAAAAATGGATACCTTTTCCGAATTCGGCACACAAAACTTGCATTAGAACGGTTGAAAAGTCTTCAATCTTGGAGGAAAATGTGTCAGTATGCCCACTCCAATATGCATATTAATACATCAGTGTGTGAGCTGTTATCCTTGACATAGTGTGCAAACTGGAGCCAATCGAGAAAAATGGATAGCTTTTTTGGATTCAGCATACGAAACTTGTATTATAGAACAGCTGAGAAATATCCAACTTTGGGGAACAATGTATCAGTATGCCCACTCCAATGTGCATATAAATACACCAGTGTGTGAGCTTTTATCATTGACATAGTGTGAAAACTCGAGCTAATCGAGAAAAATGGATAGCTTTTTTGAATTCAGCACACGAAACTTGTATTAGAACAGCTGAGAAATATCCAACCTTGGTGAAAATATATCAGCATGCCCATTGCCCACTCCAATGTGCATATTAATGCATCAGTGTGTGAATTTTTATCCTTGACATAGTGTGAAAACTCGAGCTAATCGAGAAAAATGGATAGCTTTTTCGGATTCAGCACACAAGACTTGTATAAAAACAGCTGAGAACACTGGCGGTCCCAGGGGGGGCCACGGGGGCCATGGCCCCCCCTTTGGTGCTGAAAGGTGGGGCCATACTATCTTTTGGCCCCACCTTTCAGATCGAACAAAAGTCCTAGAAAAGCTTTTCGTATGTTTCATTTTCTTTCTTGCGCCATCAAAGGACGTAAATTTCACTTATGAGTGGGCTCAGTTTCGCATTCTGTCAATGCACCGGTTCACGAGTATGGCCGGATCTTATATGGAATATCAGCGTGGGTTTACTTGAGGTTCTCGTAGGCCCAGCAATGGCTGGCATGAGACCCTCTTCGGTAGTGGTGGGTGGGCCCTGCTAAAGGAGATTGGCTCCAAGACACTAAAGTAAGACCTCATGGGTTGGTGCTGTGCACCTCAGAAGCCCGGTGGTGACGCCGTATGCCGGCTTGGTTTCTTAAGGATTAGCGTGGGAACTCCGGGGCATGCATAGAGTTTGCATGAGCTAGTATATAATATCAGAGGCATATGTGTGTAATGTGTACATAGTGGCGGTCGCGGGGGGGGGGGGCATCAGGGCCATGCCCCCCCCAAAGGTCAATTAAGGGGGCCATCATATCATTTGCCCCCCCCCCTCAAACAACCAATGGGCCCCCATATAGGTGTATGGGGCCCTGGCAATTATTCGATCGTCACGAGGCTCAAAAAACCCACGCCCAGCTATTAATATAGCTCCCACACCGGTCTTTGAGCGTCCTACACTGACCTCTGAGGGAACTTCAGTGGCGGTCAAGCGCCCACGCTGACCGCTAAGAACCTACATCAACCTCTGAGACCCCATATCTGGCCTATGAGGGCCCCTAACCGGCCTCAGGGGTCCCAACCGGCGTCTGAGGGTCTCACACCGGTCTCTGGTGGCCTTATTTTTGTCTGTGGTGTCCCAAGACGAACCTTTAGGTGCCAATGAGGGCCCCACACTGGCTGCTGAAGACCCGATGCCGGCCTCTAAGGGCCTGCATTATCCTCTGAGGAGGGCCCCATCTTGGCCTTTGAGGGCCCTCTGCTGGCCTCTGGGGTCCAACGACGGCTCATGCCGGTCTTTTAGGGCCCCACGCTGACCGCTGAGGGCCCATGTTGGCCTGTAATGACCCACATTAGCCTCTGAGAGCCCAACTCGGTCACTGATTGTCTCAAACTACTGGCCTTTGTAGTTTGCAGGCCCTGTACTGGTCTCTGAGGGCCCTAAACTGCCCTCTACGTGAAAACATACATGGGTGGGTTTCTGAAGATCAGAGGGCTCACGCAGTCTCCGGCACAGCCTTACGTTGGTCCTGATCGAGATTACTTTACGTCCTGATGGTCCCGCGCAGATTCCCTCATATTTCGACGTCGGGACCCCATGAGCCGGTGTGGGTCCTGGGGCTGGCAGAGACTGATGAAGTCCTTAGGGCTCAGGGCCAGTCTTTTTAGCAGTAAGACTAGGCAGGTTGAGTGAGCCCCAATAGAGCCGTTGCGAAGCCCCGCAGGAGTCGCGCGCGGCCCGCAGATGCCAATTTTGAAAGCTCGGAACCTGTGGGGGGTCTCCAGAGGTCGGTGTGCCTACTCTCTCCCGCCGCCACACAACTAGGTATGTTGCCTATATGGGTAAATGTCATAGTCTGAAAATGCTCTCTGGGTTTCACATGCTTGTTCAAAGCAAGAGGTATCTGTACTATTCCGAATTGTTTTATAGTGGTAAGGTCATGAATCCGCGTGCCTGACCTTCCAGTATACCTATGCTACACCGATCCGTCGTCATGGTGCAGTGGGCCGACCGGTGGAAGCACCGTGGGACGGGAAATGGAACTGGTGATTTTGCCTTAAATTGAGCTTAAAGATTTCACGCAAGAATCAGATGGATGAAGCATAAGTAATGCCAACTGCGGGGCACCTCGTGGACGTAAAAAATTAGCCGATCACTTCCCCCCCTCCCGGTGACGGATAAATGTTGTGTCCCGCGAGTGTGACTTTGGCCCCCCCTTTTGCTAGCGGCTGCGACCGCCAGTGGCTGAGAAACCTCAGACCTTTTGAAAAAAGTCTTGAAACGCAGGCCAGTGTAATGCATTATACCTTTTGAAAATGCTAAATGAGTGGGTACCAATCTACAAATACATAACACACTGCAGCACACTATTATGTGTTAGTTAGGTCTTGGCGAAATAAAGGGTCACCGTCCACCGATTTATATTATTTAAATAATTTGCTTATAACTTGTAAGGCTTACGCAGCTTGGTGTCCTTGTTCGATAGGGTTTTGAACGTTTCCGTCTTTTGTCTTCTTAGCCACAGTTGAGCACTACACCTTTTGCCCGCTTTCAGCGAGCGGCAGGGCCGTTAGCGCGGCGGCATACTTCTCGGCGCTGCGGTACAGCATAACTGCAGGCGCTTACCACTGGCGCCATCTATGAACGAAATCGGAAATACATCGGTTGCACCTCCGAATGGCGAACAGCAGCCGTCGTTTAGGTGACACTGAGTGATGTTCCCTAAAAGAGGACTGCATCCATCGGTAGGCACTTGAATAGAACATCACGTCATCACATATAAAGCGACTTATTATTTACAATTAACGGTTTATTTTCATCATCCACCTCTTTTACCACTGACCGGCGGCACGGCCACAGCTTACCCTCCGTGGAATTGTCGATCCAGCTCGATAACAAGTCTCATTACTAGTTCACGTGACCATACGGGTTCACGGAGCGCCAAATGACGGGTGGGGCTCTGAGCCGGCCGCTAAGCTCGCGACCGCCGTGATGAATCCCTCCTTGCCTCTGAGGAGCCCCGGGGGTCGTCCCAGTGCAGGCCCAGGCCCCGTCACGGCAGGAGCAGAGGAGTGCCGGGGAAGGAGGAGGGCACCAGCGGCGGCAGCAGCATGGAGAGGGCGCCCGAGCAGCACCGGCTGACGCCTAACAGCCATACAGGTCGCGTACACAGGGGTGAGAGCTCGAGAGCGGGTACTTGTGGGTGGGGTCAGAGCGCCTGTATCCTAAAATGAGTTTTAAATTGGGCATATCAAGTAATGCTGTCAAAAAGCGACGTCCGACGTCAAACCGTCAACATAGCTTACATATTGAGTGATGTATAGACAAATAGATATATATTGAGTAGGAAAAACATACAGCACATGGGTGGACGCGTTTCGTCAGAGACTTTTTCAACACCCGAATATCGACAAAACAATACGAACACACAAGAACAAAGCTAGCAAGCACAGTTTCATACCTGTTGATATATCGCGTGTACATATTATGAGAATGTGCCTAAATGCAAAAATGCAAGAATGTGCATTTTTGAATGCAAGAATGTGTCCTAAATGCAAGAATGTGCCTAAATGCTTTTGCATTTAGGCACATTCTCATAATATGTACACGCGATATATCAACAGGTATGAAACTGTGCTTGCTAGCTTTGTTCTTGTGTGTTCGTATTGTTTTGTCGATATTCGGGTGTTGAAAAAGTCTCTGACGAAACGCGTCCACCCATGTGCTGTATGTTTTTCCTACTCAATATATATCATAGCTTACATAGCGGCTAAAATAGTATAGGGGGAATTTACATAAAAATCCTTTCACTAGCGAGTGTTTCAATCGCGTATTTTAAATTCGAGACAAAATTTGTTAATACAGTGCCTAAACCAATGATGATGGCACAATATTAGTATAGAGTAGTTACGTTTGTCTCCAACACTAATATCAGAATGTAGGTATGTTACGTTTGTCTCCCCCTCCCCGCAGAGCCGGACACGATGTCCACCCGCAGCAGGAAGTCGTTCAGCACCACATCCATCACCGAGTCCCAGTACAGCTTCGAGATGTACCGAGGATGCACGTTCAACCCCAACACGCGCCAGGGACGCCGGTTCTACGTGGTCCAGGTTAGAGACTTTTAAAACAGCCCATGTTGCCCAAAACGATTACAATATATTGCAGAAATACAGGAGAGGGAGGGAAGACTGACCTCCCAGAAGAGCGAATGCTACGTTTCTAGACAATTTGGCATTGATAAAAACTAAAACATTGCTCAGTCTGAAATGTGACTGTTGATATTTTGTCAGATGCTGGTGCTCCACTTTATTCCGGTGATGGCACTGATTGTGCAGAACTGCTACATCCTGGGATCGGCCATCTACCGGCAGAGGCAGATGGTCCGCCTCACTCGCACGGTGAGATACATCGACAGTTCCCAGCAAGAACACCCCAAGTGTCAAATTTTCAAAATTGAGATTTGTATACCATTCGGCCCAGCTGGTCGAGCCGACATTTGACAAGAATTAAGATGTTCTTGCAGGGAACTGCCGATATTTTCTGAGGATAATGGTCCACCTGACTCGCAAGGTGAGACATAACAACTAGCATTATAACTGCCGGTAGAGGCAAATTGTCCGTCTGACCTGCACGGCGAGAAATAACATCGAGCGAAAGAGGCAAATGGTCCGTTTAACTCGAACTATGAGACGTGATAGCTACCGTCAAAGGCATCACATCTAACGCGCAGACAAATGACGCACTCGAATCGTACCGTGATGCGTTGAAACTACCGGCAGAGGCAAATGGTCCACCTCAATCGTGCGGTGGGAGAGGAAAATGGTCCGTCTCGCACATACAGGCATTAACCCTCGCCCGCACATGGGGGGGGGGGGTGGTTGCCACCCCCCCCCCCAGGTAGTCTTTCTGCTCTGCACTCAACATTTTTAGAGCTAGAAGGCTGATTTTTCGTATAGCTGCTCCTCTATCCTTTCTTGATGTCCACTGAAAATTTCAAGTTTCTGTAATGTTTGGTTTCGGAGATATGACCTTATTTTTCAGGTCATGTCATGACCCAAATGGCCAATTCTCAACATCTTGCGCTTGCCATGGGCCTTGTGAGCTTTTGACACCCTGATTTCGGCCTTTTTTTGCCAGTCTTACCTCCCACCTATCATGGAACATGTTGTTCGACGATGTACAGGGGTCAAGGTGAGGGTCAAGGTCAACCTAGGTCATCTAAGATAATTGCGTTTTAGGCAAGCTGAATTTACTTTTTGTGAAGTTTTTTGACTGCATTTTTGGTAAAAGCTTCTCAGATCATGATTTCATGTAATATGGACCCAAAAACAATCGGTGCACACATCAGTATACACACAGACACACACAGACATACAAACACATATAATTGACCTTGACCTAACTTGACCTGAAATGACCTCAGCAGCAAAATTCTGGTTGGGTAGTGTGACAAAGAGGTTCTAGCTAGCTTGGCACCAGAAAACAGCATCGTCATCGGTATTTGATAAGCAGCGCACTTGATATCCAACGGTGACCCAAAACAGCAATATTTTTTAGTTTGACCTGACCTGGAAGGTCAATGACTGACCTGAGAAGGTAAAACTGGGTATCATTGGATTCGTCTCTTCCCAAAGAATCTTTTTGGTCTTTACCGCTAAGCTCTATCTCCAACAGGAACGAAATGGCGCGGGGGGGGGGTGGCAACCCCCCCCCCCCCATGTGCGTTCTAGGATGGGAAAATGGCATGTGCGGGCGAGGGTTAAGTCTAGCACCAGAGACAGATGTCAGAGTCCTGACGGGCACGGTGAGACAACAGGACTGACCGAGAGCTCAGAAACTCTGCTCCTATGTGACACTTTGTCACCGAATTCCTGGTATATGTTGTGTGACGCTGCCTGTGGAACCCCGGCAGATCGAGGAGACCACGGACGTCGGCCTTCTCTTGGCCTCCATGCAGACGGAACGCTCCGAGATGGCCTACCACGTGTTCGGCATCAACGTCTCCGGCACGTGGACCGCCGGTAAAACGTACAACAGGGGCACGGACAGACGGTAAAACGTTCAATGGATCGCCGGTAAAACGTACAGCAAGGACAATGACAGCCGGTAAAACGTACAGTCACCGGTCAAACCTACCACAGGGACATGGACCACTGTTAAAACGTGCGTGCAGGGACATTAACAGCCGGTAAAACGTACAACAGGGCATGGAGAAGACCGCCGGTAAAACGTACAGGTCTCGCGGGTTTTAGCGGTAGGTTTTGCACCTATAAAGTTAAGTGTACTTCAGGCTATATCTTCGTCGTCCTAAGCTTTTAAGTGTTGAAGATGCGATCGTCTTGTTGGTTCACAAGCCGGCCATGATCGTTTAAAATGGCTTCATCGTAGATCGATTAGTTTCTGAGATATAACCGGAAATGTAAAAGTGCAAAACCTACCGCTTCATCTCTCGAGAGCCGTACAACAGGGGCACGAATCATCAAGGACGTGAAACGCCGCTAAAACAGGGATATGGATCACCACGGTAAAACGTACAACAGGGCATGGTCCGCCGGTAAAGCGTAGAGCATACTTGAAATGTACAGAACTGCTGGATTGTCATTTTTTAAGTTGTTAATGCGTTAAATAACACAGGAATGGGATAACGTAATACGTCACCTTAATTTCAGTACCTAATACGATGCTCGGAGACACTGCACTGGCGTTGCATTGCACTGCACTGCACCCAGTGCGTTGGGATTAACAATACTGTCCTTCCCCCTCTCTTCTTTATCTCTTTCTCACTCCTCTGACCCTCTCCTCTCACCCTTCCGCCCTCAGAGGACGGTTTCGCCGTGTACGACCGTGAACACAGTCTGAGGCAGGTGTTTGACCGCACCGACCTGGCGCTGGACAAGCTGGTCGACTGGAGGGCGATCGCCGGGGAGGCGGGCCTTCAGTGGCAGGACCGCATGTTCGCCTCCAAGGGCCGCTTCCAGACCTACCTCGGAGACATCAGGTCAGGCGGAAATTATACAGGCGTATCATGTGCAGGAACACCCACGTCAATATTATTCGAAAAATTTGCTTACACAAATATGTAGCAATGCTTACGCGCAAAAATGCTAGGAACGAGAGCAACGCAAGTGTGGAAGTTCATGATGTTCAATGTGTGCTGCGAAGTGTGAAATAGTACACAGCGACTGGCAACATAACTTTTTGAAAACAGAGTATAGCCCCAACCCTCGCCGCCTCCAGACGGATGGTTCTGGAAGGTCGCACCCCGTCCCGCTCCGAGATGCTCTGGTACAACCGCACCACGGCTCTGCTCCTGCGCGTGTTGGTACGACACATCTCCGACCGAAAACTTAGCTCGGGAGACGTCAGGTGAGATTAAAGATCAGCCAGCAGACGTCAGCTAAGCTATGGATATGCCCAGGCCTGGAGCCGAAAGACAAAACTTCGCTCCTGTCAGATAATTTAGCTCCTATACTCGGGTCAATCGTTTCAGCATGTTCAGATGGGGAATGTAATACTTTGATTCTTAGGACAGATCAATCATGGTTACAGATCAATCAGATGAGCTGAAAACTCGCCACGTTCTATATTTCAGGAAAAGCCGAAGACGATTGTATGTAGGATTATCATGTGATCACAAATCCTCTGGGCACATAAGACAGGAATATAAGAATTGGATAGCAGAATTCGGGGAATATCCAGTTACATAAATAGCAGATACCCTTCATCCGTCACCGGTCACTGAATCATCCTTCCTCTCTGTCCCACAGTAGCCCGTTTCTGGCGTACATCAACATCATGCGCGCCGTGGAGCACCTGGGTCTGCTGCTGACACTGGGACTGCGGTACCTCTCCACCGGCACGTCGCCGCTGCTGGTCGCCCAGACGGCCCTCTCCGACACCCTGTTCTGGGAGTACATCGGCAACACGCGCACGTTCGCCTCCGGCATCGCCGACAACATGAGTGACATCCTTGAGGAGGGCGACGGCATGGGCACCTTCATGGTCGTGTGAGTGTGGTGCGGAACTGCGGGCAATGGTCGAGAATAAAACTCACCCGTCTTCGTAAAACCCAAAGCTTTATTGAATAGCTTATTGAAAGGTGAATATGGAATCGCTAAAATATGGGGTTTGCCTACAGAGATAAGGCAAACCACGTGAAATTGCGAACTCTATTGCACTATCCAGTGCCTATCAATAGCATGAACCTAATTAGTTACGCACAGTAGGCGTACTCTCTTTTGCTTATAAGTGAACAAACACATACGAACGAACGTGTTTTGCCGCAGGAGGGACGGCATAATCAACGACGTGCCTCGAGCGTCCCTGAATGTCAGCGCCACAGAGTTCTTCCACAACAACAGCCGCCTGCTGAACCGACTGCAGCAAGTGCAGCGTCAGCTCAAGGAGAACATCGAGTAAGGAAACATGTCCGCTGCTGCACTAAAGATGTCAACCATTCGATAGTTTTCGAAGACTTCCGTTAAGAAACGACTTTCAGGTTAAATCAAAACACGCTACCATAAAAGTGAATAATGTTCGTAGAAAAAAGGCGGAAAAATCATCCAACTTCTTCGCAAATTATTCTCTCGTCAACAGAGCGTGCATGTATCTGCCGCAGGTCTCTGACTAGTGACGAGGTGCTGGTCTCTAGGCTGTAGCAAATAAGCCCTATGTCTGCCCTGCTCCAGGTCTCTGACCAGTGACGAGGTGCTGGTCTCGAGGCTGTAGCAGCTAAGCCCTATGTCTGCCATAATCCTATGTCTGCCCTGCTCCAGATCTCTGACCAGCGACGAGGTGCTGGTCTCCAAGCGGCAGCAGATGTGGACGGCTGGCCTGCTGGGGTTCGTCGTCATCCTCTCGCTGATTGGCATCCTGATGACGCGCAAGGCCGCGACTGAAATGGAGGTGAGACGGCTGAAAGGAAACGGATGCATTACGGAAAAACAATCTTTTTGAAGAGGAGAGAAATATTCAGGAATATAATTGCCTCGCAGAGAAAACAAATAATCGTATTTGTGAGCACCTCTCATGGCGTCGCTGTAATAGGACTGGGACATGAGAATCGTATTTTACAAAGTTACTTTTTTTTTTGCTTGCGTTCAGTTTTTAGTAAACAGGTGGCCATCAGGGCATATTTTAAGGATTTTTCACTGCGTCCCAAAGGTGGCATAGGGCACATGCTTTGATCGGAAAGGGCACATTGCAAGCGAAATAGTATATAATGCAAGTGAGATAATGTACAGATACATTGTGTACTGTGCTGGTGGAGGGGCACTGCAAGCGGGATATTGGGAGCGGGCTGTGATTGCTTTTGGCCAGTCTCGAAATTCGCCCAGTCGTAGTGCGTTCTTTATCCGCATTCAAAGGGCGGACCGGCGATTTAAAATGACATTTACATTGTTGTTAGTCACTCGTTTTCCTGAACGGCGTTGGGCGTGTTTGACCTCCCTTGACGCACCAAATTGTAGGGGAAGTTGGGGGAACGCCGAATACTTTTTTTCTGACGCCCGTAGCACGCAAGGTAGACAACATAAGCTATTCTTGTTGGCGTCATTCGAGAGGCCAGTCTTTTGTCTTTCAAACATACCAGGCGCATTTGATGAATTCGCATACCGTTAAGCGCACAAACTAAAAACATCAAAGAAGTGACTTTTTCGGCGTTGCCCCGGACTGCGGGGAAAGCCGAAAATGGGAGAAATGATCTACGTGGAATGCCGACATTGATGTTTTGCCACTTTATCTCAAACTTTATCCAGAATTTATCAAAGCTGACACGCGTTTTAAGAGCTTGAGGACGCTTGGTGCACACTGGAACAGGCGCGGATACAAGGGGGGGGGGGCCATGGGGGCCATGGCCCCCCCCCCCCTTGGCCGATTTTTTTCAAAAATAAAATAAAAAGTTAAAAAGTTAAAAAGCTGAAAAGGGGGCCTCCTGAAAATAAAGTGGCCGAAATCCGATGAGTTTTTTTTAACCTACCCACTTAGTTATTTCTTAGAAGACTAGCTGAGAAGACTTCTTTGTTAGAAGATTGGTAAAGCTTTTCATAACTTGGAGGTCTCTTATACTCACAGAGATGACCACTTTTACAGGGCCTCCTAACCTGCACAGAGGGCCTCCAAGCCTGCACAGATGTTGAGATGTTGCCTGAACAGCTAGATAAGCTCAATAGACGCAGTTTTTTTGGGGGGGGGGCCAACAAGTGGGAAGATGGGGCCTCCAACAGGTGGGATTATGGGGGGGGCCTCCTGGTTTCTAATGGCCCCTCCCTTGGAGATTTTCTGGATCCGCCCCTGCACTGGAAGTTATAATTGTGTGATATAATAAGAAAATGCTAGGTAAATAATTCCTTATAGGTAACAGGCCGTTGTGTCGGTTGAAAGTGTAATTTGTGTGACTAAAAATTCGCGTTGCTATTCTACAGCAGTTAAGTCCACGTAGCGTGCTTTAACGTGCGTAATTGCACGTTTTCGGCATTACCCCAGCCAGCCATACTTTCATTTGCAGGCCCATAACTTTTCAACGTGCCGTATAAATTTCAAATAGGCAGCACACTTATGCAAAGACATGCTGAAGATTACTTGACCGAATTGGCCAGACAAACGGTAGCATAATGAGTAAGAAATGCAGCTTCAAAGGCGCATGTAGTACAAGGAACGCGTACCTTGAAAACGCTCTTGGCGCCCTCACAGCCGAAGTATTCCGAATGACGACTCGTAACAAACATGCGATAATTGTAGTCACTTAAGCTTCAGAGCATCACTGACAGGTGGCATCCATGTCTTACGGTTTTCGAAATATCTCGAATTTCGGCTTTGCCCCAACTCCGGCATTGCCCCAACTTCCCCTACCTATGCTTAGAGAATAAATATGAATATGCACATGATAAAAATGTGATACATACGTCTCTTCATGCGTTTTTCACCCTTATCAATTGATTCAAAATAGAGGTTGACGTGTGAAACATGGCCAATTTGCATTGAAGATACTATGTGTTTGAAATAATTAGATGACGTAAGGTCAAACAGTACCCACCTAAGTTGTGACAAAAAATCATCGGATTTTAAAGCTACATAAAAAATCCATCATAGATTAATGCTTTGGATGAACGGATGCTTTGGATGCTTCGGATTTCGCTTCCTTACTGCCTATCATGTAATATAACCCAAACTTTTCCCAATGGAAGTTCCTTTGTTTAATTATTATGCCCAGAAATGTGTCGATTTTGTGCCATTTCCGGGCGCTTTGGGGGGGGGGGAGCATGGCCCCGTGGCCCCCTCTATATCCTCCTATGGCCAGACGGCCATGACGGCCCTGAGCTGACCGTATGCCATCAAATGTCAAACTTCGCAATGATGCGATATTTTTTTTCGGAAAACGTGCCGGTATCTCAAAAACTATGATAGCTAGGAGGGCGCAATCGATAGGAGAAAAGCAATTGATATATCTTGAACAGCTCTTTCGTCAATATTTCGTCAGGATTGAGTTCAGATCAACGGTTAAGGCTCCATAGCCAAAAACGGGTAAAATTACAATTTTTGTCAATATTGGTTTCATGAAAAGCTTTTGAACTAAAAAAAGGTAGAGAATTTTCGTTTGCACGATCGTTCTTCTCTCATTTTTACCTCGACATGTCAAGGTCAGAACTTGAGCTCACATTACGGTCATTTCGTGACCAAGATAGATCATGTCGCATATCAGTCGATGCGTTTCGATGAGGTACCTCAAAACAATGATACAATCCACTGTGCATGCAAAAGCCCTGTAGGGCCGGATTTTGGGCCAGGCTCCGGGCCTGCGGGCTCCAACTTGACATCTCTAAACAGGACTTTAGGGAAGGACAGGACACAGAGTCTGAGCCCTAAGGACAGAGCAGGCACAGGCCATGAAGCTAAGCTAAGACGGATACTTGAGGGCTGGGTAGGATGCAGGGTCCGAGGGCAAGGCAAGGCGCGGGTCTGAGGCTATCATTACACAAGGCCGGAGAGTAGTGCAAGACACAGGGCCTTAGAACACCTGATGATCAACACACCTGATGGCAGGGCAACACGCAGGATCTTAGAGCAGGGCAAGAAATAGTACCTAAAGGTAGAGCAAGACATAAGACACAGGTATGACACAAGGCCCGAAACACCGCCCACGTCTTGTCATACCTTCGGGCCCCGAAGGTATGACAAGACGTGGGCAGTGTTTCACGGACGTCGGACGCTGCTATCAAATTCCGCGAGCTGACGTCATACTTGTGGTAGTGTTTGAGCAATGGGTCTGTTGATGTCTCCATGGAAACCCAATTTGACACGTGTAATAGCAGCGTGCTGCTATCACCGGTGAAACAGGGCCAGGGTATGGGGCCTGAGGGCAGGGCAAGGCTCAGGGCATGGAGGCAGAACAAAGCACGGGTTCTGAGGACAGGTAAGGGCACGGGGCATGAGGACGGGAAACGGCACGGGACCTGAGGGCGGGAGACACCACAGGGCCTGATGACAGGGCAGGGCACAGCGCCTGAGAGCGGGCATGGGACACGAGACCTTAGGGCAATGCAGAATACAGGGCTTGAGGGCAGAGTAGGACACAAGGTCTGATGGCATGGGACGGCACAAGGCCTGACGACAGGGCAGAGCACAGCAACTTAGGGCGAGGCCGGGCACGGGCCTGAGGGCGATACAACGCATAAGGCTTAATGGCAGAATAGGGCACAGGGTCTAAGGGCAGGGCAATGCACATGAGGCCTGGAAGCAGAACATGACAGGACAGGGCCTGAGGCAGGGCAAGGCATTAAGGGCAGGGCACAAGGACTGGAGAGGGCATGTATGTGCTTAGGTACATAGTAAATCAGGGCACAAAGCAATCGGAAAGCCAACATCTTTTACACAGTAAAAGACCGAGGCATGTTACTTATTTTTGCTCGCACTTTTCGGCTGAAACCGTGGCATTTCAGTGTGGGACGCAGTGGTCCAAATTTCGCGAGGGCTACGTCCCAAAGGCAGGGGGCTGCGTCCCAAAATGGGACGCAGTCAGTATGTTAAAATATGCCCTGGTGGCCATTCGCCTACAGCTCAGAATCGCTATAACTATTTGCGCCCAGACGCTCATATTGTCGGTGTAACTGTCTCTGAAAAGGTATTCACAGTCTCTGTACCGTTTCTGAACAGATATTCACCGAGTCTCTGGCGGCCAAGACTGCCGAGGTGCGCCGGGAGCGTCGCCGCGCGGACCGCCTGCTCTGCCAGATGCTGCCCACCTCGGTGGCCCTCCAGCTGAAGAGCATGCACAAGGTGTCGGCAGAGTCCTTCCAGGCGGTCACCGTGCTCTTCAGCGACATTGTCGACTTCTCCAGCATCGCCGCACAGAGCACCCCCATCCAGGTCGGTGGTGATGTGACCTCGAATGGGATCATAGAATAACATGAAATGTTGAAAGATAATACTTGAACTCCAGCTTTTCATTAAAAAATATCCGCTTGCGTAGCTACGGTCTGCGGAGGATTCGGCTACGGCGGAGCAAAATGCTCACTATCCTGCGATGAGCAGTTCAGCCCCAAACTATGCAGACTAGCCTCGTAAAAAATGTAAGACGTTGACGGCAGCAAAAGTTTTTTAAAATAATTAATTGCACAGGACACGACAGCTACCATTCTCTTCCCAGGTGATGGCCTTCCTGAACCGGCTGTTCAAGACGTTCGACAACCGCATCGACCGGTTTGACGTGTACAAGGTGGAGGCGGTGGAGACGGTCTACATGTGCGCCTCCGGCCTGCCGCATAAAAACGGTACGCGGCTCAGCACTAAACACGAGTAGACATAATTGCCGCTACTTCGAATGTTCACTGAGCAGTGATCACTGATGCAGCGACCAGACGCGCGTTCCTTACCAGTCTGTCCTCAAAGCGGGTCATTGGAGTCAGTCTATCAAAAAGTGGTTGAGCGCGGAACAGCCAGCACAGGCGGTGCAAAGCTACAACAGCTAAATTACAGCGATCGTGAGATGTCTCCATGTCATCATACACGCCACTGGATGGACTGCTGATTAAAGTCCTCGAATTATGACCATCAAAGTGACTTTGACTCAACTTCTGACGCCCTTAGCGACCTTCACATGACCTGTGACCTGTGACCTCTGTTCCCTCAGGTGACCGTCACGTGACCGAGGTGGCTGACCTGGCGCTGGAGCTGCTGACCACCTCACGTCGGTTTGAGGTGCCGCACCTCCCGGACCATCCGTTACAGATTCGGCTGGGGATCAACACCGGGCCCTGCGTGGCAGGTATAGACGGGGAACGAGCCCGTCGACCGTTTAACAATAGCCTTAAACTTTGCTACGAATTATAGCGATGCTTTGTGTGGTGACTCTCAATAATAAAACGTAGGTATACAAAAATACTTACATTTACTTTGTAAAAAAACGCTTCATATAACCGCAGAATTTAATTGATTCTGCACGTCCTGGCAACCGGCAGGAGTGGTCGGCACCAAGATGCCTCGCTACTGCCTCTTCGGAGACACGGTCAACACGGCCGCCAGAATGGAGCAGAACGGCCTGCGTGAGTTCAACTCCCACCGGAGACATATTTTTTGCGAGTGCAAAACAGTCTACTGACAATAAACCTAATTCGAAATAACCGGTTCACTTAAATGTCAGTTACATGTAGCTATGCCAATGTTTGACGTGTCAATGACTTGGAGGATGGCTGCTCGTCCCCAATTTGAAGATTTCCTTTCTACAAAATCCGATATGAAGCTGACTAACCGCTAACAGATCCCATGCTAACACCAACAACCCTTTTCAGCGATGAAGATCCACCTGACGCAGAGGACGTGTGACCTCCTGCAGCGGATGGGAGGGTACCAGATCGAGTTCAGGGGTCACATCCAGGTGGAGGTAATCTGATATAACGCTTCGTTTTTAATGAACTTAGAAATGTTAACGCCTTAACGTTGTAAGTTATGGACGTGGCCACGACACGTCCTTTCACATATTTCGCTAACGCGTCGCTAATAGCATATTAAAGCATTTTCAGACAAAACACACGCCTCTCGTAAACTGCGGTGTGGAGTCACCAGACCTACAAAAATAGTAGATCCGAACTTGTAAGAGCGAAGTCCAGTGTGTGGTAATAGCAGCTGGACTGAGAGCAGACTCTCATTCATATAAACCGTTTTTGTGCTGCAGGGAAAAGGAACGATGGAGACATACTGGCTTGTCAGCAAGAATGAAGACACGTCCTCAAGAAATGTCGGTATATCAATATCAGATGAATGACGCCAGCCTCTGTTAAACCTGCTTCACAAAGCCGCGAACAATAGGATCCCTCATACACTTAATTAGAGAGTGTTTGCTGTATCGGCCTCTCATTTCGAGCATACACTTTCAGTGTACACACGACACGAGAATGTGTACCGGGAGGCGGGAACAGCTAAGTGTTTACTGCCGGGTGTAAGAATGACGCGAGGTGTCTTTGAGCCGCTTTTAATTCTGCCACAGTTTTGTGCTAGGTACCTGGGAATAATTCGCAGTGAATGTGTTGTCATAGCTTCACGTTTCAACACATCTTTGTCCGTTTTTTTATTGGTGTTCTGTTACAGTTGCTATGGACTGTATGGTAGGTTTGGTTCGTTGGCTGTGCCGCCGTTCGTGGCACTCCATTCTATTGTGGGGCCAAACTTTTTTCATTTCATGTTTGAATACTTAAATAAACAAGAAATGGACTGAATACATTTTATATCAAAATAATATCGTAGTTATCCGCGTTTCTACATATAGGTACTACTTGTGGAACCAAATTGTGATTAGAGGCCACTTTATGCCTAGGTAGTGCGTGCCACTGACCAGGGAGCCAGGGTGTAGTGCTTGCCCACTTCCCAGCAACCATATCTGAGATCGCATCATGGTGCGGTTGAATTGAATTCTAGGCGGTGAAACACTGAGGCCGCCTACCTATTTACATGAAACATATACACATTGACCAGCAGACGTGGTCCGTGGGTCGGGCTGTCCAGTGCAATATTTATAGCAGCGACCAGACAGATTGGTTATCATCAGTAGACAAACAGAGCAGAGCTGTCATTGACTGAGGCGTATGGCGTATGAAAGAAAAAGCATCCAATTATCAAAAATCCAAAAAGGACTAAGTATAACTTTTGGCAGGTTGAACTTCAGCAAAGATAGGGGCCTTTGATGCAAAGTATATCCAACTGAATTGGCGATACGTGCATTGTGCACTTGTGCAGTGTCCAGTGAACCGTTCTGACTGAGTCACTTCGGAACAAGTCCAAATGAGGATTAGATAATTCGAAGATTATCTTTTAAAGGAGTAAGATGAAAGAGGAAGAATCAGCTTTTACCGATAAGGTATAGCAACTTTCAAATGAAGCAGCCACAAAAGTTAAAAAAAACTTATATAGCGCCTGGCAAAAACTATCAAAAAAGACTTCCTTTGTTACATCAATTCAGTTTAGGCAAAAATCATTTCCAAAGATTTGGGATTAAACTTCAACGATCGACAAATATAGTCACAGTTTTCAGTCCGATGATATCGTCCCGACATTGCAACAAAATCTACAGAATCTTACGACTAATGAGTTGGAATAAGCACCAGCAGGTAGCAAACACGATAGTTTTAAAAAGACAGTAAACGATGAGAACTACGACAGCTAATAAAGATAATAATTTCCAATCATCTACCCTTCAATATAACCTTTAGTCGATACCTTTCTGTACTATATCAGTGCTCCTATTTTTCCATTCCTTTACGTTCATATGTTTTGTAGTGAGTGGAAACAGCGCCTACGCACGAGACTAACATACATACACTATATTGGGTTTCGTACGGTCTGAAATCCCTGCGTCCAGTTCAGCAGAAGTACGCCGAGCGTCACAGTCACTCAACAGAGTAAATATTATGGCCTGCAGGACCACTGCAGGGCTTCAAGAACGCGTGGAGACGCCGCCTGGGTGAACCTGTGCTCAAGAACGATCGGAAGGATTACCAAAATTTCCAGTCTGGTAATAAAAAATATTGTTATATGTGTTTTATGCTTAGTAACCTAGTAGTTGATCAGGAACATAGGTAAAAACGATGAAAAGTTGACATAAGACAACCGTTGCAAAGCACAGGTTACTCAAAACCAAAGTTTATCGCAATTCGGAAAATTCCTTTATTATTTATTCCAACGATTTTCAATGAGCGAATGATGAAGTAAATGGCTGCCCAGCAGAGCTTACTGCCGCGAGGATTCTGATCTTGGTCGTCCTATATCGAGAAATTCCCCCTTTTCCTGTCGTGAGAATTAGGAGGCGTGAACATACTCTCAGAGCCTGATTGGCCCGTCACCCTCCCACAGTGCTCTACGCCATGCGAGCTATCGGGCGGACCACAAAAATGTTTCTCCGTTTTCGGCTTTTTGATTAACCTGCGCCCACTGGGGGGGGGGGGGGGTGGCTATTCATAGCCCCCTCCCGTTTTTCTGCAATAACTTCCAAACCACTTGACGTATCGACGCCAAACTTTCAGTACCTTCGGCTGCATCAATTTGACACCTTGTGTCACAATTTGAACTTCGTAGCTACCATAGGTCGGCCGGAAATGACGTCAGAGTGACGTCATGTTCGGCCGATTTCGACGCAAAACATTGAACCACGGCAATCGCTTCCAAGGGCTCAGTTTTTAAGCTAGATCCAATTTTTTTTGCATGAGAGGACTCAGAATAGACTGCGCTATCAAACTGCTATCTCGGATTTTCGAAATTTTGAAAATTTCGAAAATTTTATATAATAAAATTCACAATTTACATTTTTACATTTTTTTTCAAAAAGTTTTTGACTTTTCAAAAAAAGGAATATATGTGATAGAACGCGTTATTATGACTAACTCTAGCAAGTTTTAGCTAAATATCTTCAAAAATGGCCAAGATATACGCATTATTGCAAAAAATTCACAACTATTAATTTTTCAAATCAATTTTTCACCACGTATTTGACATCGTACGCCAATATAAATAGCACCATCGTGTTGCTGAGCTCAAACTGCATCCATTAGACACCTTTTCTGTTGAAAAATTATAACTTCAAAATTTGACCTTTTTTGACATGAAAGTGACCTGACCTAAGCTAAATTCGACCCAAAATGACCTCGAATGACACAGACGACATCAAATTCGAAATCTTTGGCCTAAATGGACCATAAAACATGTGTCACGTGACCGACGATGATATAATATTTTCGTGACCTGTGATGACCTGACCTTGACCTGAAAATCAAAGTACAAGTTTGGTACCCTCGGGGTATCTAGAGCATCTGTTCACGAGTGTGTGAACCAAAAATGAGCCTGATCTGACTTGTAAGACGGCGGCCAGAGTCCAAAACGTGAACAAGCCAAAATGCTAATAATTTTTACTTTGACCTGACCTGTGACGTCATCGGTGACCTCAAGGTTAATAAAATTAGGGTTCTTTCGACAGTTTTTCCGGGGCTATCAGAAGCCGTTTGAATTTTGACGATCGGCCCAGTAGTTTCGGAGTTAGGAGGGGGGGCTATGAATAGCCCCCCCCCCCCCCCAGTAGGGCGTGTTAACCCCAGTGGGGCGCGGGTTAAGTGGACTCTCGACTGGAATGTTTAACCCCAAAAAGGATTTTGCTCGTCTTAGTTTAAACTGCGATCGGAAGCAATGTCAGGAACAGCCCGTCGTGCCCATCCCTTAATTAATTGCCTGAAGTGCGTTACCGACATTCACTCCTCCAATCCGCTTCCGCTTTAGTGGACATTTTCCCTCGCCCAAAGAAATCAGCAAAGCTCAGCATTTAGTGATAGGCATTGGTCAAGGCGTCTTTACACCTAGTACACCATACATTTGTTGATGACTGAACCCAAACACTTTTAATGATAACTTTACACGACTCTTTGAAATTAAAATAAGATTGTTTGATTTTTTATTGAGACTCGGTCATCACTTATCACTTATCAGTCATCTCGATATTGTATGAGAATGCTGCACAACCAAAGTTTGCATTCCGGAGCTAATTTTTGCATGTTCTATTAAAAAAGTCACGGGACTCTCCTTGAGAAGGCCACAGACTAGTGACAAAAAGTTTGTGTACTCTCCACTCCGTACGACCTAGCAAAGTTCACTGCCAATTCTATGTCTAGACTTATAATAACGATCATTTTAGCACAACTCCACTTGAGCATCGATATGCACGTTTCGCAAGGAAGAACGGCCATACCTACATTACTCGCTCAAACCAACCAAATTAATGACTAACGACCCACAATCACACAGCCCGGTTAATTTTAATCTCAGACCCGCCTCCCAATCTGTTACCCTCCCTCCCCACACACCACACATACACACTCACACTGGATCCAAAGAGCAGCCGGTGGCGGGCAGACACCGGTCACTCGGCCGTAAACACAGCTGGAGCCGATATAAGGGCGCGTCCGGCGACTCAGCGCGGACATCGCGACAGGCCCCGTGCACTGGGGCTGCACTGTCACGCCCTCTCAGCGTCTCACACACAGAGAAACAGGTAAGAAGCGAGTCGGATCATGCCAGGACTTATAGCGACGACCGTTGTGCTTGATCGGCAGTAGGACGAAATGGTGGCATTAAAACTTTGGTGAAAATAGAGAGAAACGAACAAGGAGAAATATTGGGGAGCCAGCAATATTCCAGAAATTCAATTAACTTACTCGTACTTGAAAGCAATTAATTAAAAAATTGGCTGAGCGTAAGCTAGCGGCAACGTCGTCAGATGTCATTGTGCAATCCAGCAGCACTTCGCGAATTGGAGGTTAAAATATAGCTAGACGTCGCTATAATGCCTATTATGCATGACGTCCCCCTTGTTACTTGTGCGACACACAATCCGGTAGGTAGATGTTCACAAGTTAGAAAGAAAACTTGGAGGGAACAATTCTTTATCGGTTTAGAGCCATCAACTCGAGCCTTTGACAACGGCAGGACCATTTTATAGATTGCAGGTTGCACCTTTAATGACGTTTTCACTGCGTTCTTATTTGAATATATTATTACGTTGTCTCAAAATTAGCCCCTTACGACTCCAGTTAAAAGATGAAAGACCCGCCGGTTGATAACCCAACGGTTGATAAAGGCGCAAAGCCGAAAGCTCCCGAAACTGTATTTTGTCTTTTTGAAATTTTATATCTTTTGGCTAATATGAGAGTAAGGTTAAGGTTGAGAGTAATCTCTTATTAAAAGATGAAAGCTTCAATTTCTGAAAATAGAACTATATGGATCGGACATAATTTCAAGAAATATTACCCTCGGTCATCAGATTTTTTACTGGTTGGAAGCTTCCCTTTTTATCAGTTTCGAACACATATTTATGTTAACCCTCGCATGTGTAGGGGGGGTCGGATGGACCCCCCCATGTTTTTTCGCGAATAACTCGCGTAAAAAGCGGCCGATCGCGACGAAACTTTCAGTTCCCTCACATTGATCAATTTTACACCTACCCTGAAAATTTCATGACCCTGACCCAAATGACCTTTGACCTGTGACCTCTTTTCCGAGAACATGTTTGGCCGGAATCGCGATTCTGCGTACGTCGGCTCGCATTAGCCGCGCGTTTGCAAGCTTTTCGTGATTTCAAACGTTCAAGCATGTGATTTGATGTTGCTTCCATGCATTAGGGTGGGTGTCAAGGTCACCTGAAGGTCAGGTCAGGTCATTGACCTTTGGTGACCTCGGGTGACCTCGGTTCACTTTTTCGAGCTGTACATGTTTCTAGGCTAGTTTTTGGAGCTGAATTCGAATTTAGCAACCATTTGAACATTTACGAAGTAGTTTTGGTGCCTTCGTAACATGTTACGAAGCTGTCAGAGGCGGTTGACACGTACTACGAATACCCGTCACGACGCCTACTGGTTGACCTGACCTGCCCTGACCCGACCTGGTCTAAATGCTTAAAGACATCATCTGTGATCAAAACTAACACGATATTCGTGATCAGCACCCCGAAAAACCCCTCAGCAGCCACACTTTACGACTTTCTAACAGGTCCCGATTTTCCCGACTTTGGGTCATTGACCTGACCTGGAAGGTCAACCAATGACGTAGGACCTTAAAATTGGGTATCATCGGCTTCCTCTCCTCACGGGCAACACGCTCGCTTTTTCCGCGAAGCTCTAGCTCGATCAGGGGCCAAACGGCAAGGGGGGGGTCCAACCGACCCCCCCCCCCTACACATTAGAAGCTGGCAAACGCCGCACACATGCGAGGGTTAATCATTCCATGGGTTGAGCTAACCAAACCTTCGTTCGAGTGGGGTCAATTTGACAAAATTATCTAGCTTTTTTGGAGGTGTAGGTAAATGAGCCGGGGCACCTCTCGCTTCGAAAAGACGTATACATTTATGCTATGAAAAAAACGTGCGTGCTGCATATGCCAAAAAATATTTTTTTTAGAATAATGTCATTTCTAACCAAACCAGCTTCAATGACTAGGGCACAGTTAATTACCGGCGGTCACCTGAAGGGTCAAATGAGATCATCTGAATTCTGAGGTCATCAACAATTTTTATAAAATCTATATTGATTGAGATAAGTTAGAAAGTCATGGATAGTCTCGATGTATTTGTCTCGGTTACACGCATCGACTGATAGGCAATATGACCCACTTGGGTCACGAGGTCACCATAACCTGACCTAAGGTGAAAACGCAACATCGACGAGAGCAACGAAGAAATTTCCATTAGAATTATTTATGTTAATCTTTCTTATTTTATATGCCCATGGTATGATTTTTTTAAGCAGTTGCTACGATAAGCGGTAGGCACTCGTCGAAATTGGTTCTTTTTGCATTTAACCCTCGCCCTGGCAGGGCATTTCTCATAACACGGCCTGGCAGGGGGGGGGGGTGGTCGATGCGACCCCCCCTCGCGATTGGCTCCTATGGCACCTAGAAACACCAAATTTGGTAGGTAGGTGGACCCCCTGGAGTTCTCGCCCCTGTGCAAATTTGGTTGCTCTAGGTTAATATTTAGGGGGGTTTTGACTTTTGGGGGGTATAAATGTAAAAATTTCGCTAAAAACAGGTCAAAAGTTTTCGCTTATAACTTTTGATCTAATTAAGATAGAGCAAAAAGAAAAGCACCAGTAAACTCAGCACGTCAAGGCGCGTCGAATGATATACTTTTTAGCTTGCTTAAGTGTACTTAAAGTTTTTCTTAAATTTCAAGTGAACTTAAATTAATAAATTAAGTTAAAGTTAACCAAATTGCATCATATCGCATATCATTCGATTCGGCTGATCACCAGGAGCACAATGATACCATTTTCTAAGCTCTAGCGTCATTATGTGCCAAGTTATTGGCAAAAACGTCATTTGACCTCAGTTGACCTCATTTGACCTGACCCATGGATAAGTACACCAAACAAAGAAGCACCAAGTGACCTGCTGTTAAGTACTGTGGTTTCAAAGCACAAAAGTGATAGAACGAAGCGGATATCTTCAGTATTTTCCGAATTTAGTATTTTCCCATAGGCTTAACATTACGACGTAATGACCTCTAACTGACCTCAGGTCAGTGACCTCAAAAAACCCGAACTATATGTTATACAACTCGGTGAACTTAGCACATCCTGAAAGTTTGAAGGAAATCAGTGCAAAACTGCGAGTTGGACAGGTGCAAAAAGAAAATTGAAATTTGACCATGACCTTGTACCGGTTTTTCTGACCTGGTGACCTGACCCAAGGTCACCCGGACCTGAAATTTTCAGGTCATATGTAGAAAGGTTGCCCCAAAAGCTGTGCCAAATTTGGCGGCGTTGCGCGCCGCCGTTTTTACGCTATCTTCGAAAAACCTTAGGGGGGTCGCATCGACCCCCCCTGCCAGGGCAAGGGTTAATCACCTCTCGGATGGCTTAAATGTTATCCTTGAGTTGATTTTCATGTAAAATCACTGGAGATATGATTGGGGATGATTATCACTGGGGATAATCTATGGGGATATTTTGAGATATCAACTATCAACAAAACATATTTCGTAAACAGTTTTTGTTTCCAATATAGTTATGGCAATTTAGGTACCCTTTAACCCTATTAGTGGCAGGGGGGGTTGTTTTTATCCACCCCTCAGGTTTTTCGGGAATATCTCCGAAACCGCTGAAGCTACGATGCTGAAATTTTCTGACTTTTCCTAAAACTAAATTGGGCACATTCCCTGATAATTTCAAGTTCATAACTGTACCAGGGGCGGCTCCAGAGCACTGGGAATTGGGGGGTCCTATTCGTGAAGCGAGTCATTTGGGCGAAGATCACGATGCTGCACCAGTTTTACGAACAGTGAATGAAAGGTATCATGTGATAACATATACAAAGTTATTGTGCATCCTCTTGACACGTTTTTGCTATAATAGGCGGATCCAGGCGTCCAAAAAGGGGGGTTATTTTTTACCTCCCAACATAGGTGCCCTGACACCGCCTATGCATGACCAATACAATTTTAGTCGTTCTCTCATAAGAAAATTGTAACATAACAAGACCATTGCCACCCTTTTTAGAAACAGTACCAACAAAAACCTTATTTACTATACTTTTTGTGTGCCCCCAATCTCAATGATCTGTATCCGCCTATGATTTTTGAAAATGCATATTTTTAGGATCCATAAGAATTCCTGGTTCATTCTCTATCGATCGGCAAAAGTTGCGTTAAGATTGGTTCAGAAACCTGGCCGTGATAAACAGTCTAAAATGTATCTGCAATTTGCCCTTTTTTACCCCCCTCTACCCCCCTATTGACATTTTTAATTTTTTTTAGAAATGTAGATCTCGTTGAGCCAAATCGAATGCCGTTTGAATTTTGAAAATCGGCCGGTTAGATCTCGAGATATCAAGGGGGGGGGGGGTCGTAAACAGCCCCCCTGCCACTAATATGGGGTAGCCAGGAGCCTGCCACTAATAGGGTTAACCCTCGCTGGCCGAGGGAGGGTCGGGTGCCCCCGTCATAGTTTTTTTTTTCGCGATAGCTCCGAACACGCTGTCGATGGAGAGCTGAAACCTGGCAAACCTGGTTGATTCAAGCCGGATCTTCTGACACCAACGGCATTTTCGGGTCAGGTCAGGTCGCTGACCTATATGACGTCATAAGTGAACCTCTGCACAGTCTTCAGATGTCGCAACTCGCAACTTCGCAACGCCCTCACTGCCAGAGGAGATTTCACAGGGAGATAAAACTTTCAAGACTTAGTATCCATAAGGAATCTCACAAGTTGCATATCTCGGATTTTTCCTTAACCCGCGACCTGGTGGGGGGGGGGCTATTTCCCCCCCCCCTCCAGACTTTTCGATATATCTCCAGAACCGCTGCGCCGATCGTCATCAAAATTTCAGTACCCTCCAGGACATCAATTTTACACATGGTGACCAAACATTTTTCCAAAGGTTATGATAGGTTGGGCGGAAATGACGTCAGAGTGATGTCATGTTCTGCCGTTTTCGACCCAAAAAAGGGTTTCGCGGGAAGAGCTGTCAGGCCTATAGCTTTGCAAATACAGAAAAATGATAATAACACAAAAGCTGTAGAATTGACAGGGCTACAAAACTGCTATCTCGGATTTTTGAAATTTTTGGATTTTGACCCACAAAAAAATAGATTTTTTGGATATAATGATCGAAAAATCCAAAAAGTTTTTTGAACTTCGCAAAAACCGGAATATATGTGATAGTCTTTACCGCCTTCCATCCACATACCAAATTTGAGATTGATACCTCTTTTTTTGGCGAAGTTATAGCGAAAAAACTGTTCAAAATTGACGACGTCAAATTTTCAAACTCAATTTTTAGCAATTCTAGACCCCGTAGCGCAAAACAAAGACCACCATTAGACTCCCCGTGACGAGCTGCATCGAATCAATACCCATTTTATGCAAAACTATCAACTTTAAAATTTGACCTTTTTTGGCCTGACCTTGACCTGACCTTGACCTGAACTTCACCAGAAAGTGACCTAAGCCGTTTCTGATAGTCTTATAACCAACACCATTGAGTTGGAAATGAAAAATTGGCCATAAAACATGCATCACACAACCTTAGTAAAGTTTGGCTCATGTGACCTGACCTGTGACCCTTGGTGACCTGACCTGTGACGTGACCTGGTATTGTCAGTGACCTCTAATAGCAACATATCTACTAGGCAACTGACGCCCTATCGCTGATTCTCGACAAAATGCGTTTTTCTCGGTGTTATAGCGCATTCCCTAGAAGACCCGTGAACGGTGAAACATTTCATCTTTGACCTGACCTGTGACGTCATCGGTGACCCCGAGGTCAATGAAATTTGGTTTCCTTCAACAAATTTGACAGGCCTTTCGAACGCCGTTTGAATTTTGCGGATCCGTCCAGTAGTTTCGGAGATACGAGGGGGGGGGGGGCAAAAAATAGCCCCCCCCCCACCAGGTCGCGTTATAAACAGACCCCACCAGGGCGCGGGTTAAGGTCATATGAGGTCAGGTCATTTTTGTGACCTCACCATTATGAGTCAATGGGAAAATGAAAACTGCTTTTTGGCGCCGGGGACGATCTCAAACTATCTCAACCACACGGAATTGTGATTTCATGCAATCCTTGCAAGTTTCGATGCTTCATTTTTGCATTGTTGTCACTAGGGTCATAAAAGTTTTTCGTCAATAACTACTGATCAAATTGAGCTGGCGAGTCGGGAAAGCCAAGCCACTAATGGACTCAGGAACACCTGCCGAATTGAATAATATGCGACATGACCTCCTTCAACCAAGCTCGTGACCTGGGGGCTCTGACCTTACCGTGACTCGAGGCCAACACCAAAAGTTGACCTCACCCAAACAAAAAGTATACCATTCGATGCGCCTGAACAAGACGAGCACGATGCGGTCAAAATCGCGGCGCTCTATGATCATTTTTTTTTTGCGAAGTTATTCGCCAAAAACCGAGCCCGTACCTTGGGCCACTTGACCTAACCTCAGATGTTACCGGTTAAACTGAGACCTTAAAATCAGCTACCAATCGCTGCGTCTCGTAACGGCGCACACGCTCTTTTTTCCGCGACGCTCTAGCTCCAATAGGGGCGAAACAGCGAGGAGTTTTGCCATCTATCGGACACCGACCGTCAGTCAGGCACACTGGCGAGTAGCGACAAACACTAATAGTGACCGTTGTTTGGACGCTACCAACTGTTTAGCTGACACATTCAACCAGATATCAGACACTACCGATTGACCACCGGCCACTGCCGGACCGCACCGCTCTAACCACCCACTGGCCCGTGTCGCCAGGTCCGCCATGATGCGGTGGGTGCTGCTGGCCTCCCTGGCCGCCCTGGCCAGCTCGGTCTCCCCGCCAGACATTCCCACCGACATCGCCAAGTACGCCATCTTCCTGGCCAACAGCAGCGCACAGGAGACGACCACCTTCACGCTGCAGCACACGGTCATCAAGATCACCAAACACTCGGCCGCAGAGTCGTCGGCGCTTGCCAAGAGCCGCGCGCCCAGGATTATCGTCACTGACGCGGCCGCCAAGGGCCTCGTATGCGTGGGTGCTGGTCGCGTGCAGCTCACCCCTGCCGGTAAGGTTGTTGAGGCCGGCGAGGTGTCCACCGGTGCCGCAGCGAGCAGCGCTTCCGCGGCCGCGGGAGGCGACGAGTCGCACAAGGCCGAGGAGCTGATTGTCGGTCAGGGTGACGGCGTCGTGGCGTCCGTGAGCTCCGCCGCCTCCGCGTCGGCGTCCGGTGGCGCTGCCTCGGCGTCCGCAGCTAGTGGAGGTGCCGCAGCCTCGTCCGCCGCGGGTGGAGGCGGTGCTGCCTCCTCGGCCGCAGCCGGTGAGGGAAGTGCTGCCTCTTCAGCTGCTGGTGAGGGAAGCGCTGCCTCTTCAGCTGCTGGTGAGGGAAGCGCTGCCTCTTCTGCTGCTGGCGAGGGAAGCGCTGCTTCTTCTGCTGCTGGTGAGGGAAGCGCTGCTTCCTCCGCGGCCAGCGAAGGCGGTGCTGCCTCTTCTGCCTCGGGCGAGGGAAGCCAGGCGACCGCGACTGGTGACAGCACTAGCACCAGCGCCGTCGGTACGGAGGGTGGCATCAGCGTGGACGTCAGCGGCCAGGGCGAGGCGGCCGCCTACGGGGGCGGCGAGGGCGTCCACCTCAGCGGCAGCGGCAAGATCACGCACATCGATGAGCGGTTCTGCACGTGCGTGCCCGACTACCTGTGTGACGACGAGGGCTACATCAACACGGCCGGCGCCGGCCTCATCGACATCCGCTCCTTCTCCAAGACGAAGAAGACGAGGGCGTACGCCTCCAAGTGCAAGGAGACGGAGACGTGCTGCAAGCACCGCGACAACGAACAGATCGGCTGGTTCCCGAGCGGCTGCGGTGACCGCTCCCCCATCCCGCTCGACAGGCGCGTCGTCGGCGGAGAGGTAAGAGAATGCTGACCGGCGTCTGCGTTTGAGGGAAAAAGTCCGCTGGGTCCATAATTTGAGGTTCACATTGCATCTGTCACTCATTCAGAATATCCTGCGTTGCAAAACAGACGGTTAAACAAAAAAAAAAAATTCAGGACAACGGGATAACACGTCTGATGCTTTCCTGTGTCCTTTTCTTCGATTGTAACGTCATACTTTGTTGATATGATTAAATGAGCACCTGTGCGTGTGTCTAAGCTTGGCAAGATTCGTTTTTTTTTAATGAAATGATGACCTGTTACGCAATATGATACCAAACGCATACGGAGTCCGAGTTCATGGTCGAATCCCACAGCACACATTATCACATTGTACCAGCTTTGCAAGCAGGCCCAAACGTTCCACTTCTCGACGTCCGCAGGCTTCTGGTCTGGGCAGGTTCCCATGGATGGTGGCCATTATCCGCTCGATCGCCAACGGACCCGACGAATACGTGTGCGGCGGCTCCCTCATCAGGGAAGATGTCGTCCTCACCGGCGCCCACTGCGTCAACAAGTGAGTAAGCACCTTCGTGAACGATGGCCGTAAAACATGTGCTGAGAATGGTGCCAACGTGGTGATGTTGAAGTTGAAGACCCAGTTGATCATGAGTTCGTTTCCAAAGAATTCCATGGTGTTGTTGACCAAAGCAAGGTCCTTGGCCTGGACCAATGCTTCCTGACATCTGTAACTAACAACTGCATCAGCAGTTGAGCCATGCGAAACGTCCACAATGTCACACCCCTATAAATATCGCCCTACCCTCAGCCCGTTCTGACAACGCCCCATCCGCCCCGGCACCTCCAGGCTGAAGGGCGAGCGTCTGATCGTGCGCGCCGGAGAGTGGGACACGTGCAACGACGACGAGCTGTACCCGCACATCGACATCGAGGTGGCCAGCGTGATCCAGCACGAGGGCTTCAACGCGGCGACGCTCTACAACGACGTGGCACTGCTGCAGCTGGTCCACGGCGTCGAGGTGCAGCAGCACATCAACACCATCTGCCTGCCGGACCCCCAGTTCAGCGTGGACATCCACCTGGACGAGTGTGTGGCCACCGGATGGGGCAAGGAGTCCTTCGGTGAGTCGACCGCCTCGGGGACTTCGGGATATCCGTGTCAGGATGTTAAACTGCGGGACTATGGGTCAGCGCGTCTAGCCCCGGGATATCCAGATCAGGGTGCCAGCTCAGCACATCCGGTTCCCGGTGTCAACTCCAGGACTTTCGGATGAGGGTGTCTTACTTCTGTGCGCTTAAGTGGCAGCGTTAGACAGTAAAATATTTTCCCAGAGGACGTTTTCTTCAAGTTAAAAAGACACTTAAGATCGATTGCAACTATTTTGTAGAAAATCAAAAGCAGTCAGCGAGACGGTTTTCCAAACGGAGGGTCTTGTCAGACGCTGAGGCACTCAAAACACTCTCGAGGACAGCCTCTAAAGTATACATCGATGTGCAAACCTTATCGCCTCTCAGTTCAATGTATACTTTGAGACATCTACAGTCCGTCGGTCTGGCTAGCAACAAGCCCAGCCTGCACAGTGCACATGCCAGGCGGCGGGGGGATGGGGAGGGGCGACCCTGGGGTGAGTGGTGTGAATCATGTCTCAAAGGCCCCCGACTAGGGCAGCCATTCACTGAACTCTTTCAAACTTCAGCTTACAAAGTTATCAAGTTACAAGAGCAGCGCACTAGACATACCGAGACGCATGTTTGGTCGCACATTGTTTTGGTCTATTGTCCAGCAGTTAATGTGCAATTCAACTTCAGCCTCTTAGCCGACAGTATGAGTAAACTATTGCGGCGATAGAAATACCAGATCTCACGAAGTCTAACGGAGACTTCACATTCTGCATCAGGTCACCTTGCACTCTCAATGTTTACCGCAAGCAGATCCTAGGACCTAGGTAGAGCATCAACACCCGCTCATGTTCGACTCTGAACGTGCCGTTCTTTTTGCCCGCCTGCAGAGAACAGCCAGTACACCAACATCCTGAAGGAGGTGCCGCTGCGCGTGGTGGGTCACGACGCCTGCCAGGAGGCTCTGCGCACCACGCGCCTCGGCAAGTGGTTCAAGCTCCACGATACGTTCACATGCGCCGGCGGAGAGCCTCATGTGGACACGTGCAAGGGCGACGGCGGCTCCCCACTCGTCTGCCGGATCCCCTCAGAGTTCCCCGGGGAGGACAAGTTCGTCCAGGTCGGCATTGTTGCCTGGTGAGTATCGGGGAATCACTGAAGTTAAGTCGGCATTGAGGGGAACAAGCACAGGATGATGAATCCATTCCGGCTAACGGCTTGTCTCCCCATGCTCAATCAAATCAAAGGCCCATGATAGACCATTGTGTCAGTGATGATGATGCCTCAGCAATCACAGATGTGAGTATGGACGAAACATACGTCAACCTTGCCATCTGTTTCGAATCAGCGAAGATGCCGCCATATACAGGGTGTCCAGAAAAAAAGATACTACGGAAATTAAGTCGCATTCATTAACGCACGTGCCGATTTTGTTCCAACTTCATGTGCTTATAGTGCAAGATTTGGCAAAACTCATGAGCACTGTAATGCGTCGTTGGAAAGTTGTCTGCTTGCCCTCCGAGATGGTCAACATGACTATCAGTCACCTGCAGACTGTGCTAGTGCTGGAGCTGATCCGCCGTAAGGCCGCTCACATTGAGTATCTGCTTTGAGGAGCTGCCGCAACTAACCAAGGATTTTACATGCCATGTGGCACCTGCTGTCTGTTTTGCCATATTTTGGCGAATACAAGCATGTGCCATTTTAAAATGTAAGGTGTTTATTTTCGGAATTACAGCAAAAAATAATAGTATCCGTTTTTTTCTGGACACCCTGTAGTTTTCCACCAATGAGTTCCGCGGCACCCTCAGACAGCTGCCATCTCTGAGTTACGTAGCGGCCGTGCTCTGACCCTCGTCCCCCGCTCCGCAGGGGCATCGGCTGCGGCAAGGACGGCATCCCGGGAGTGTACGCCGACGTCCAAAAGCTGCTGCCCTGGATCCACGAGCACATGCCGCACTCGGACGAGTACCCGTGATCGGCCGCCGGTCGCCCCACGCGCCCAGTTGCCCACCATCGCGTCGGCCAGTGTTTACCGATCGCTCAGCGCCTGGCCGGTCGGACGGGGGCCCGAGCCGGGGACGGCAGACGGTCACCGCCGCGGTCTGGGAATAAACACTGGGCAGCCGACCGACCGATTTGGGCCCAAATGTGACCCGGTGTTCGTATACAGCTTGCGACACGGCGACGAGGAGCGGGCGATGGCCGCTGGACGGCTTAGACAAAAAACGGCAACTGGCGCGATAGGGAGTTCCAGCCGGCCGCAGCGAGTCGTTTTGTTTTTCTTCCAGAGATGTGTGAAATGTGCTCAGAAATACATGCAGAACTGTCATCTAACTTTAAAAGTTCACAAACGGGACCGAACCGCCTACAGTTTGTGGGCGTCAGACATTCGTATTTCGTAATGACTTTCCAGGTCTCAATTGACCAATTGAAAAGTGGCTGATGTGGATCACCTGAATACAAGTACGAATCATTGACGTCGACAAAAAGAGACAAAGACAACCCAGCTCTCCAGCAAACTGGTGCACCCCCCAAGAAGTTAAACTGATCCACCGTCAAGAAGTTAAAATGCGACCACTTCTCGGTGTATTCATTTGCACAGCACAATGACGCTAACAATGACATTACATTACACACATAATTCACTCAACCTGTTGGCCAGAGCACACATGGAGACTGTCGCCCATCGTTTCGCTCTTGTACTCATATAAGTGAAGAGAACAAAATATACACACTGGTTGACCTTACATTCCACGCTTAACGACATCTCGGTTGAAAAGAGTGCACGAAGTCAGCAATGAACTTCCATAACATCCACGCATTGCAGCAAGTACATAAAAGCAAATTTCATTTTCATTCGTAGTTACTTTCGGCGCGACTAGGTAATTCAAAGAACTTTTCGAAGCATGAAATACCCCTCTCCCTCCCACACCAGCCCTGCCAACAACACATCAAAACACTTTCTTGTTTGACGACAAATCGAAATCCACCCTACTGTAAGCAACCTTTCAAGTAGCAAGAGCAAAAGGGTGTGGAGATCGGCTTAATAATTCATGGTCTGATCAGGATTTAAATCATCCTCTGCGTATCAGACGAGGCCACACGAAACAGTGTTCAAGCACATTCCCTTTCAATCAGAGTCCGTCGACTTATCGTGCTCCATCAGACACAGCACCCTTGGGTACACAGAGCGGGTACGGTGCCACCCACCAACACAGACCTGGACTCGGAGCCGCAGCACGGCCCCGACTGATTCAACGTTCAGTATCACGAATCCGCTCAGGCCAGCAGGCTGCTCAGACTCTGGCAGCCTGTGCCACGAACTTCAAGCCGAACCAGGTCTGCACCCCTATCCACTTCAGACCTGTACCACAAACCACGGGTCGCCTCAGACCTGCGCTCTAGGCCAGCTCAGACCCACGTCACGGGCTACCTCAGACCAGCACCACAGACCATGCGCCTCATAGCACCGCCTCAGACCAGCTCACACTTGCGCCACGGGCCGGGCGCCCTTGGCGGCCAGCTGGTCGTTGGTGCCGGAGAAACCAGTGCCGCCCATCTGCAGCGGGATGATGTCGGACTCTGCCAGCGGCACACCCGTCACCGGGTGGCGCATGTCCTTTCTGATCAGCTTCTCCACGCATTCCATCGTCACCACGTCGCCGCTGTGGGGGGGAGATGGGGTAACGGGGTAATAACGGGGGAGCATAACGGGGAACACTCCATCGTCACCACGTCGCCGCTTTGGGGGAGAGGACGGGGACACGGGGTAATAACGGGAAACCCTTCACCATCACCACATCCCCAATGTGGGAGAATGGAGGGACAACGGGGTAATAACGGTGCACTGCTGCAAGCCTGCAAGTAGCTGCGGCGGTCCATATAACTTTTTTTATCTACCTAATATAACTACAACCGGCACCACATATTGATTCGTCATCAGAAGAAAGTCCCTCATTGAAAAAAAAACTTCACAGCATCTTATAACCGAGCTTTTGCAGACCTACCCAAAATTCCCAATCACGATTCTGCAAAAATGTAAATATTTACCAGACTAGTTCCAAACAGACCCCCTCCAAAGCACCCCAGAACATATTCACAAATGCAATTGAACTATAAACAGACTGAATTCGAATTAACGTACTAGAGTCTAAGCAAAAAAAAAAAAACGATGATAATCGCCGGGTAACAAAGTCGCACCTCACAGCCACTCACACCTGGTCCCCGGCAACTCACGTGGGTTTGAGGACGGCCGCCGGCACGGTGTTGCCCAGGATGTCGTGCGTCACACGACACATGAACCGGTTGCGTTTGGAGATGAGCGCCGCCTTGTCGTCGGGATCGGAGACCGGTGTGAACACCACGGGAATCAAGTCCTTGACCCTCAGCGGCTTACCGCTCATCGGACAGAAGATGGTCTTGTCGGGCTTCTTGATGGTGGATTTCTTGGCGGCCGGCGTGAGGCTAGGGATCCAGAAGGAGGGAAGCTTGCGCGCCTTATCCGTGGTCATGTTGGACACGGAGCCGGCCTCGCTGGGACCTGCGGGGGTGGCGCCCGTGGTAAAGGGGCTGCTGAGTGCTGACTATAATGACTAAGCCTATCTATGGACAAGGAGCCGCATCGCTGGGACCTAAAGGGTGACCGGCCTACTGCCCATACTATGCCTATGGAGCAATATAAGAACATGGACTCTACTAGAGTAACGGAAGTTAAATATGAGCTGTGCTATTCGGGCAAATAGGTAACTATCGCCATTCATTAATGTCAAAAGCGTGTTAACCGTACCTAGACTACGGTTAAAGGGGAAAAGTTTTTTTTTAATAGCAAGCGTGTAAAAGAGCATTATAAAGACTAACTACAACTTTCAGCAGCTTTAACATTGATGCCTATGCAATTTACGGACTAAAAGAGACAAACATGCGTCACACATGGTTTTTATTTGCCGTTGTCGGACGATGGCGATACGCTTTGGCAATCAAACAAAGCCAGTTATAGGCTTCAAACATTACCTGAGAGGATGGAAACACACGCGCACGTCGAAACCGTTAGAATTCCATCACCACACAATACATGTCAAATGTTTATAGTGTCCGCTGTAACCATAACATCCACAGTCAGAGTTGTGTGTCTTACAAAAGCCCATTCGTCATGCCCCACATCTATCATTTACATTGAATAGCGAGGTTTATGTTCTAAAATCTCAGGAATACAAATGCTAAAATGATAGAGAATCAAAAATGAAAAATTCTTGAAAGAAAATAGATCAAGTTGATAATCGTGGTTGAAAGTGCATGCCCCAACGAGCATCACCAATAAACGCCATACACGCGACATGCATATTGCATATGCTTTTGATTGAACAGCTAACAAAGTCCGCTACCTATTTGTCTAATCTATCAAATAATTGGCTTCCAGTAAGAGCCCAACCATACCGCTACTGCAAAAGTCAGCTCACTCGCTCCAAACCAGACCCTGGACACCAAGCGTCACCAAGGCAAACACAGTGGCCGTTTTTAAACAAGTCCTTCAGATTTTCCGGCGCGCTCGGTTCAGCGAACGTCACTGACACAGACGACTGGGAAACCTCCGTCCCTGGTCAATGTCCTACAATGTCCAATGTGATTGGAACGGGAGACCTCTGGCCACTCAACAGAGATAGTTATTAAACAGCCAACTTTGACGTCATCTAAAAAAGTGGAGACAGTAATTCCACAGCACCACTTTTTAAACTTAAAACAAACTGCACACAACAGTTAAACAGTTTTATGTAGATGAATGACACCCAAAACATACAATATCATCAAGCCAGGAAATAATAAAAATGCCAACGTAACATAAAAATGCGGCATCTAATGCATAAGATCGCAGGTCTGCTGTCGAGTGGTTGTGGAATACGGAGGCTCCCAAAAATAGCAACGGGTTGGATTGGACACAACTGACCAAAGTGATCTTTCAGTGCACATGTCTTTGCACTCCATGATTAACCCTCGCCGGCACAGGGGGGTTAATGCACCCCCCCCCTAAGGTTTTTCGCGAATAACTCGCGTAAAAAGCGGCCGATCGCGACAAAACTTTCAGTACCCTCGCATTGATCAATTTTACACCTACCCTGAAAATTTCATGACCCTGACCCAAATGACCTTTGACCTGTGACCTCTTTTCCGAGACCATGTTTGGCCGGAATCGCGATTCGGCGTATGTCGGCTCGCATTAGCCGCGCGTTTGCAAGCTTTTCGTGGTTTCAAACGTTCAAACATGTGATTCGATGTTGCTCCCATGCATTAGGGTGGGCGTCAAGGTCACTTGAAGGTCAGGTCAGGTCATTGACCTTTGGTGACCTCGGGTGACCTCGGTTCACTTTTTCGAGTTTTACATGTTTCCAGGCTAGTTTTTGGAGCTGAATTCGAATTTAGCAACCATTTGAACATTTACGAAGTAGTTTTGGTGCCTCCGTAACATGTAACAAAGCTGTCCGAGGCGGTTGACACGTATTACGAATACCCGTCACAACCCCTACCGGTTGACCTGACCTGACCTGACCCGACCTGGTCTAACTAAATGCTTAAAGACATCATCTTTGATCAAAACTAACACGATATTCGTGATCAGCACCCCGGAAAACCACATAGCAGCCACACTTTATGACTTTCTAACAGGTCCCGATTTTCCCGGTAATCGGGTCATTGACCTGACCTGGAAGGTCACCCGATGACCTAGGACCTTAAAATTGGGTATCATCGGCTTCCTCTCGTGACGGGCAACACGCTCGTTTTTTTCCACGAAGCTCTAGCTCGATCAGGGGCCAAACGCGAGGGGGGGTCGTACCCCCCCCCCCTTGTGCCGTCGAAGTACGCAAAATGGCCTGTGCCGGCGAGGGTTAACCCTCGCCCATGTAGGGGGGGGGTTGGTGCAACCCCCCCCCCCTGAGGATTTTCGGAAATAGTGCAAAAACGGCGGCGCGCAGCGCCGCCAAATTTTGGGTACCTTATGGGGCAAACCTTGCGCATCTTTTGATAAAAAAATTTGACCGAGTCATGTCAGGTCACGGAGTTATGACGTCACAAAGGGAACAGCCTCCGGCCGGATTTTCACAAACTGAGTGCCAACGCCCGAGGTTTCCTGCCGGTGGTACGGACATCGGTTGATGGATCGTGATGAAACTTCCCATGCATGTTAGGGCAAGTATTGGCTATCATATGGTATAAGAAACTTGACCGGGTCAGGTCAGGTCACGGAGCTATGACGTCACAAGAGGAACAGCGTCCGGTACTATTTTTGAAAAGCGCCCGAACCACTATTTTGCTAATTCTTGTCACCTCAATGAGAAT